ATTTCAATTTTCCGAAACTGGAACGCTTTTTTAAATTTCTAAAACAAAAAAATGTATTAAAAATTGGATTTCATTATATCACAGATTATACTAGAAGTGCAAAATGGCACAAGAAAAGGTTTTATGGAAAAATATTCGCTTCAGAAATTTTTACTTCTTTTCTCTTCTTGCACAGAAAACATTGTCTAGAAAATATCTTGCCTGCATGCTGTTGAAATTTCATATGGTACACATTTTCCCATATTGCACAATACATTCTAAATTTTCAAATATTACAGTATATTAACAAGAATATGTGCACAAAAGAGTTTTTTTAAAGGGTTTTCAATTGTTCGAAAGAAATGTCTGCTACATAGCAGATCATTGGTTTAATCTGAATTAATTTAACTTTTCAAAACTCGTAAAATTCCAAATTTATTTCCATTGCATATACTTATCATCGAAAATTAGTTTATTGATTTTTTCGAGCAACCTCAATATATTCCAGTCAGATCTGATTTTGAAAAAACTTTTTTACGAATTGTGTATTGAAAGTGAAGTTCTTTAGACTCAAATCTTGCTTAACATAAAATTATTAAATGATGAGAAATATTCTAAGATCTAAAATTTAAAATTATTAGGGTTAATGCTCTTATTTTACGCAGACCTTCCCCCCAGCATTAAAAAACTTATACCTCAGCTATGACATAGGTATACGTTACTGAAAATTACTTTAATTTCGAAAGACAATGTACAATGATTTTTAAATTAAAAATTATATTAAAATTTTAAAACTAGAACCAGCTTTGTGAAAAAAGTGTAAGAGTTATATGTATATTTTTATGTATACAAACTCTATACTTCATACATTATATCATAAAAAATCAGAGGTTTTGTATAATGTTTATGTTTCTCAACATATTTTATTTAATTTCTGCATACATATGTATGTATGTATACTCATGTGCACATGAACGTAAAATACATGCGACGAAACCAGGTACACAAAAATTAATTTCTAGTAAATTGAAACCTGATTTCAATTTACATATCTATGCATTATTGTCTTATTAATATATTTGTCTTATAAACATATATATTTAAAACAATAGAAACAGTATTATTAAACGGTATTATAATTGCCCCAATTGTTCGTTCACCTTAGGAAAAATAATCCAAGGAAGGTTAAAGTTTTATTTCCCCTTTAAAATTTTATAGCTATATATGATTTTCCTCATAATATGCACAAAACAAAATAAAACAATAGCATGAAATCTGATACATCTGACCAAATTCAAATATTCTAAATTTGCAAGTTTAGTATAAAGTTTCAAGAAATTGAAAAACTTTTTATACTTAACACACAATAAAACACAAATTTTTTAATGTATGACATCATACATGGATTTATCGGAATTTACAAATCTTTGATATTCTTACAAGTTGGAATGAAAATACGAAGTTTTAACAATAAATGTCCCATCTATTTTAAGTTTTGGCTGATTCTAAAGCAACTGATATTCATTGCTTTACTTAAAGGGTTTTTTAAGTTATAGTCCTATCATTTTTGACAATATTAAAATTTCAGATAAGATTCCTTAGTTTTATAACATACGTATATTCTTCACTTCGTCAGATTATCGTCACAAAATAAGGTTGGTCAACTAAACTGACTAAATTAATTCCCTCTTTTTTTCTTTAGATCTTGCATAATATGACGATCGCAGTACTAGAAAATTAGTTACAATTAACTTTTATTTTTTACTTATTTCATTTACTTGCTTTGTTCTACTTGTTTTTTTTTTTCTCGTTTACTTCTAACTGTGTCACAATGTGCACAGCGAATTCATTTTTTTCTATTTATGCGATCTTAACATAACTAAGTGTGATATGTACAAATTTTATTATCGAAAAGCAAAAACACAGTTAAAATTTCAATGAGTGTTTATACCCGTACGAACGTATGTTCGAAGGGTATACTAAATTTGCCTTACCGTTTGTAACGCTAAGAAATAATGGTCTGAGATACACTTAAGTCTATATGTTTTTGCTCAGCGTCGAATTCTGAGTCGATTTAGCTTTGTCTATCCGTCCGTCCGTCCATTCGTCCGTTCGTCCATCTCAACGATAACTCAAAAACTAAAATTGAACTAAGTTCACCAAATTTTCACAATTCATTTATTATAGTAAATACCAGACCCTATTTAAATTGGACGTGATTGAGGTACTGGTTCAGGTAGCTGCCATACAACTTCAAAATTTATTTGGCTATATCTCAGAAAGTGAAAAAGCATGGGTGTTGAAATTTCGCAGAAGAATATATTAGTAGGGCCAATGAGTTTAATAAAATTCGTTGAAATTGCTTGGCTCTTTCCGGTACAACTTCAATAGTTCAATATTTTCTAAGATAACCCAGTACTGAAATTTTGTATAAGTTAATATGGAAATATAGCAAGTTAAGGTCATATAGTCTCTCCCATAGTCAGCTATGACATATTTATTTGCGCATAGGATAACAAATTCGTAAGGCTATCGCAGAGTTGACACGGTCAACTCTATTTATTGTCGTTTTTTATTAAAAATTATTTTTATTATTTTTTTTTATTATATGCAACTTATGTTGCTATTAGTGTTATTGTCACGGAATTTTGATTTTATTTTTAAAATTAAGCATATAGGATTGCCGTTCAGCAAAATTGTTATGGTAAGAAGTACCAGGAAGAGCTAATGAATTTTGAGATATCTACCTAGTTAGTACAACATGAATCTTTTAAAATATAGAGCGAGAAAAAATATACAATATAAGGTGATGATGATTTATTAAAAAAAAAGGAAAAGAAAAAAGAAAAATTTAATTGCATTTCTTCCGAACTCTGCTCTCAATTTTATTTATTCACTTTGTTTTTAATTTCATATTCTTTAATATTTTCACAGTAAGCATTAAAAATTTTCTTGCAAATTTATTGTTTGTTTAAAAATATATAAAAGTATACTGAAGCGCATATTGTGCAATTAAGTTCGCTGTAATCTCACTACAAGTGTGTGAGGTTTTTGTGCATAGTTTTACTTATTATACTATATATAATTTATTATATAAAGATACTGTACATATATAAATACTATGTATATAATGTGTATTATAATCGTCTACAAGTGCATAATTTTATTGAATTTTAAATTTGCGTTTAGTGTTTTATGAGCGTTCGTCATCCTCTAATAGTAGTTTAAGGATATTTTATATAATATATATATATATATACGTATAAAGAAAAAACAAATATTTTAATTTTTATTTAACAAAGTTATCAATTGCTAAAAAAGTACAAGTTTACTCGTATTTGTTACCGGCTGCATTGCATACAACAAGGGAGTTTTGTTATGGCACCAAATTTTAAATGTCGAGTTTGGAAGTTTTTTTTCCACGCTAGGGAAGCGTAATTAAACTATTTTTAAAGAGCCATTCAACTATGTCTGTTGGTCTTCCTTTCTATCTGTTAGTCTGTACAAATCAGTATATTAAGTTCTGCTGGACCTATTTTCATGATAATTTTTATCTAATAATGATATCTGAGTTTTTATCGAGAATGAGATTTTTTAATCAACTTTTGGATGTGTCAGATTTCTGAAACTAGATCTTTACTATGAGTCGATTTTACGTTGTTGATTATATTTTAGAAAACAATCAGTTATTTTCCTGAAATTTTATATATAAAATGTTTCGTCTGACAGCACAAAAAACCTAACTTTTGTAAGAGATCTTTGGAACTTAACTTTGGAACCTTTTGTGTATATAAAGAGAAATAATTAAAAGATTTCCTTCAAATGTAATATGTAGTATGAATTCATGATGTTAAAACAACGAAATCTCAACATTTTTGAGAATATCAGGGCCCCGGCAACTTAATATGGGCCGATATATATGTTTTAGCATACCTAAGAAGCAAATCTACATTTTTCAAAGTATGTTAACTAAAAGCTTACTGGTGTCAGATTTTTTTAATTCACTATAATAAATTTAAGATAGTATTAGTCCAAGAATTGATTTCTAGTTTCCTATTTTTTCATGTTTCAAATTTACTAATTCAAATTACATAGGTTAATAATTCATTACTCCTTATTAAACTAAAATTTAAATAGTTTATTTCTCTAATATAAACTACGGTAGGCTTTGTACGTACATACATGAATAATATATATGTAGTTGAATAATATACTTTAAAAATCGAAATGTGCATTAAAATTAAACAAACAAAATACCACAAAAAATTTTTGCATCAGCTGTCCATTCCTATAACGATGGACAACTGCGTTGTCTACTATTGCATATAAAATTTACATTCAAAGCCTAAGAAAAGACATAGCGTCAGAAGTGGCAGCAATATAAATTAAAGCGATTTACTTAAATTGCGCAATAAGGTGAGAGTTTGATTTGATACTTTAGGCGTTTTGGTTGCGTTTTCATTCAAAACATTATTTTAAAGATAGATTTAGTGAAAATAAAAAATAACAATATATATAAAGAATTAAATAAATTAACTAAATTAATTACGTTTATCTATGAACATTGAAAGCAAGAGTGTCAATTTCATAAAACGTTTATAGGTACACGTACGTATGTATGAAAATGTCTATAATTCTACAAAAGTGCTTGCTAAAAATATAACGGATATGTTCGAATATTTTTGAATACATATAATTACGAATATGTTCTTCTAAATGGTATGAGACTGAAATATTTTTTAGTTAAATATCTTTATTTTGCTGATACACTAACAAGTTAATTAAAGTAAACGAAAAAAAATGAAACAGCAATGTAATTATGATATAAATTAAAAACAGAAACTGAAATACGAGTTATAATTTCTTCTTTCAATAAACTTTTCTGGTTCAATATTATAGGAGTATTTATATAAAAATGCTTTGATAATAAATTTTTTTTTATGATTTTCCTTTATAATACATGATTTGATATAATATTAAGAAGAGAATTTGTATAATAAAGAAATTTTTATGTTACGTACCTTCGCATCCTGCTTCTGATAATCCAAAGAATTTGTCTTCACAAACATCGCATTTAAGGCCACCAACACCCGTTTTACATTTACATGCACCTGTAATAATATCGCAGGCTTCCCCAAGCGACCCATTTATGTTGCAGTCACATGGTTGACATTTTAATTCAAAATTTGAATAACCAATTTCACAACTATCACATTTTTGGTCAGAATATTGTGGTTTACATAAACAATTTCCAGTTTGAGTATCGCATACTTCTGAAGTTGAACCTTCCTTAAAACAATCACAAGCAATACATCCTTGTGAGGGATCACCCCAATAACCATATTTACATCTTTCGCAATGCCATCCTTCCGTATTACCTCTAAAATTATAATTATTTTGAAATTTGTTGTAATAAATTTTATATCATAATTAATGAACCAGCAACAAAATGAAATAGTTTAGTACCTGCACTCAATGCATTCGCCAGTAAATATATCACAAGGACCGCCGTCACATTCACATGGTAAACATTTTGAACCCAATACTGTTGGATTACCATAAAAGCCATCGTCACACCTGTGTGAATGGAACCAAATTTTAAAAAATTTTTATTTTTCTATGTACGAGTATATATGTGAATAAATATTACTCTGCCAGTAAAAAGAAATTCACAATTTTTTTAAAATTTTTCAAGAATATTTGCATTCAACAAAATTTTCAATTTTGTTCCCACCTCCTTACAATTTAAATTAACACAAATTTAATTATTAACAAATTTTATTAAATTTAAACAATAACTTTACTCTCGAAGTTGTATCGTTTGGTATGTTAGTTGGTATCATTTGCATTATAGATCGAAGAAAGTTTTTTCAAGTCATTAAAGACAAAAGCTCATAGTGACTATAAAACTCACTTTATTTAAATTTATCAATTGTAAATATCGTTTCAGTTATATAATTTCCAAACTGATTAGCGTTATTATATAAAATTATTATGAACCAAGATATTATGGGATACTGTTTCTTTTATTAGAAATTTATATACATACATATATATATATATATATATATATATATATATATATACTTCTATCTGCTTCTATTTTCATTTCGTTATTTTTAATAAAAACGCGCTATGCTTAATAACTAAAAAATAATGATTGGAATAAAAAACAAAATCTTTTTATCTTTCCACCAGAATTCCACATTCCACTTTATTCAATGTGTTCAAAAATTCCAAATCACACCACACATTTCACATTGGCGGGAAAATAAACTAAAGACAAAATTGTGAATTTAGCTTTGACCGCAACCTATAAGTTAAATTAGTGGGTACAATTTTTTATACATACATTTCACAGAAATCTCCAGTATACCCTATAGGACATTGTGTGCAAACATAATCTAATTCAGAATTTTCGTTCACATTTCTACTTTGGTTTATATCCATACTAAAAGTTTTGAGTTGACAACTTGGTGAAAAATTATTACTGTTTTCTAATAATGGACATGCACAGCGAGAACAGTCGTTTGGTGTACCTTTTAACGGATTACCATAGAAACCAACCTGACATCTTTCGCATCTTTAAAAAAACAAGAATTGCAAGAATTTTTAGTAAGTTTGTTAAAATCTTTCGTTAAAATTTGAAATTAAATTTTTAACTTGAGCAAATACAAATTTGTTATTAAATTTTTAAATTTAAACTTACTTTTCACCGTAAGTATTATGATGGCATATTCCACAAGTTCCATTTATAATGTTACAAGTTTCTGCATGCCCATTACATGGACATTCTATACACTTTTCAATATAATCTTGAGGAGAAGAACTTTCATAACCTTTCATATATCCAAAATCACAACTTTCGCATGAAAGTCCTCGATATCCAGGTGGACAAACACAATTTTCAATCAGACCTTGATTCGCAATTCCACTTTCAATTTCATATTCATCTTCTTCTTTTGAATTCCCGGAATATAATGAAACATTTTCTAAAATTGTTTCAACTTGATCTGTGTGGAAAGTTCCACGTATTAAAATTGCTTCTATATTAGCTAGTACAGACATAAATTGTGATCTTGAGACGGCGCCACCATGGTATTCAGCACGTTTCATTTTTGTTACTATATCCTTAACACTTTTTGGAACATGATACCAGCCTTTTTCTCTAAATTCTATTTGAATAGCTGCAGCCGAATATTGATAATCTGCATCGCCATAAGCTATTTTCATACCATTTTTTCCCATTAAAATTATGTCTGGGCCAGATGTTGGTTTGCCGCTTGTGTCGCCACGAATTATTACCCAGGAAATTTCTAGAACTATTTTAGATCCATAACTTGTTAAGTGATTTCCCGTATATTCTTCTGGTGCATACCAGTATACTGATTCGACATTCGGTAAATCATACATTCCAAAAATTAAATGTTTACCGTCTGCATCTAGAATGGGATTTGAAAATACGCTACAAGACAAATCTGTAACTTTCCAACCATATAATGTTTTTTTCACTGAAGTTGTAATGTTTGCACTAGAACAAGATAAGCCAACACCGGAACACCAACATTTTTCACATCCTTTAGGATTGTCAGTTCTTAGACCAAAATACCCTATTAAGCATTGAGAGCAAATTTCCCCTTCAACTAATTCCTTGCACTGACAATGATTTTCACATTCGCCACCAGCAATAGTACCACGCTTGTCACATACACATTGTAAACAATATTCACCATAATATCCAGTAGAACAGAATTCACAATGACTACCAGTGAAACCTTCCTTACAAAGACAAACTCCGGTATTTGGATCACAATTAGCTCCAATGTTATTACATTTGCATGGAATACAACCAGTAGTTAAGTTTGATGCTTTCATCCTATAAAAACCAGGTTTGCAAGTTTCACATTGCGAGCCCGCTGTATTATTATCACAATTTAAACAGATTGCACCGAAATTTTCATCATATTTGCAATCTTTTGCATGTCCGTTACATTCGCAACGTTCACAAGTATTATCTTCGCGAAATGTACCAATTTTAAAAGGTTTTGCATTATAAAGTGAACAGCAATGACTGCAATCTTTTCCGCAAGTATTATGTGTACATAAGCATTGGAGTATAGAGTTACCATCATTGTCTATTTCATCTTCACCAGCTTTCAATTCTACTGTTTTATTAGCATGACCATGACAGTTTAATCGCCCACTAATACGTATTTGTTTCAAAGAATAAAAACTCCTTTTCAGTAACGATTCTGAATCTAAAACACTATTGTCTAGATTTGCTACTGAATGCATTCCTTGAAATCTAATTCGAATATATCTGGTTGAAATAAATTCTAGTAATTCTGATGATTGCAGTATTGCACCAGGACGGTTTTTCAAAAGTGAAACATGAATTTCACCATTCTCAAGTGGATGGTCTTTTGCATATTGTGTTGTACAAATTATTTCTTTATCCGTGTTAAAAATATATTTTCCAGTTTGTCCAGACATATTATAACGACGTTTACAATCTAAATCATTAAGGCCAAAATATTGCCATGGTTCATATGTAATATTATCAAAAGATTTTTCAAGAATCCATGATGCTGGTCTAGGAGAATTTGCAGCTTTCATCATTATGAAAAAAATTTGAAAAACCTACAAAAGAAATAATAATTGTAATCAGTTTTAAATAGAATGCAAAATATTTAACAATAAAAATAAAAAAGGAAAAGCTTTTGACCTAAATTTCAACAATGGCCCTTTAAGTTTCCCCTTAGTAAATTAATGTTGAAATGAAATACTTAAAATGTTGGAAGAATCTTTTTTCTTACTTTCTTGTTTGTTTTGATTAGGGATTCTAAATTTTTGGTATTTTTAATTTTTTTAAAATATCTTTTACAAACTTTTGTTTAAAAATTATTGAAAACACAAAAAAAAAAACGCATCCCATTATTTCTAATTACTTATTTGTAAAAGAAAATAAATATTGTAAACAACTAATTGTTTAGAACAAATGAAAAATGATAAGAACGCCGTTTGAATTTCTTAGTGTTTTTAACCACGAAGTGTGAAAATTTGAATTTCAATTAATGGTCTTAATTTTGAATATTTCCCGAATTTGGTGATTTTTAAATTTCATGCTATTTTTTGAAAGAATAAAACGTAAAATAGGTATGGGTAAAATATACATGCATGTACTTAAGAACTCGTTGTATTTCACTGCATACATTTTGGGAAATTAAGTAAAGTGTAATGTTTTTAAAAATATCTTACAAGTGGGACATACATATACTTATAAGTTTTTGAAAAAGTAATTTTTAAAAATATCGGACCTCCTTACAAAGAAATACAAATATGCAAACGCGCTTCTGAAAATTTTTATTTTATTTCACTGTTATTAAGAAAACAGTAAGTCTGTAAGAAAACATACTTTTTAACTAAAGGGAGGATTTATTATCTGAGCGATATTATTATTCTTTGTTGTTTTTGGAATATCACAATATTGTTGAAACAACAGAAAATCAATATTACATTGGTTTGTAAAGTAGGACATTTTCTTTCGATAAATTAATAGAAAAACCAATACTTTAAAACAAAATTGTAAAGATTAAATTCTAAAAAAAAAAATTCTCTCTAAAAGATACTGGAATATAACAAAAATCGTAATTAAAAATATAACAAAATTATTAATTTTTGTAAAGAAAAAAATTGTGTTCAATGTGAAGAATTAGTTGTAGCAAAATTCACTACCGGCACTTTTTCAACATTGTTGAAACAGGAATTTTTAAATAATAGAAACTCAAGGCTGTTCACCTGTAGCTAACGTTTTTGAAGGAATATATTTTAGATTTTTGATCATGGAATTTTTTTCAAATCTAACAAATTCCATGAACAATCTTTAAAATTGTAAATTCCGACTTAGAGGTGATTTTAAATCATAGGGATCAATAAAATAACTTAAAACTATAAAAATATATTAAATTTAATTCTTTGTTTTGTAGTGTATAATTGTAATACTTCCAATTACTTAAAAACAGAAAATCTGAATAAATCAAAAATAGCTAATTTGAAAATATAATGCATGCGAGGAGAGTAAAAAGAGAAATTTTTGTGTTTAAGGATCTTTTGATGAAATGATTTGCAGTACATATTAGAAAAATGTTCTTGTAAAAAATATTCAGCTATTTATGATTTAATTTTATCAAATTTTGGGAAAAGACACACATACAAATGAACGGACAAGAAGAAATGAATTTCAAATTTTTATTTAAAAATATATCAGAAATGTGCTAACTAAGGGTAAGATTGTTATAGAACGTTATAGAGTGCATCGATAGAAATAAATTACTTTTTCCATTAATTGGTCTTTCATGGTCTTTTGAATAGAAAGAAAACAAACAAAATTAAAATTACAGATTATGTGATATGTAAACAAAATAAATACAAAAGGATTGTTCTCAAAATTTCTAGTCTCTTATCCATATTCACGCAGAACAAATGTAAAAGATTACCATCATCTGTTTTCTTTTGGTTTCCTTAGTAATTTAAGTGGAACACTTTTATATATTACAAAAATCAATTTCAGAGTTTCGAAATATGTTTTGTCTAAGTAAAATTTTGGTATAAATAATTTCATAAGTTTATAGAAATTACAATGCTATAAACAACTATTTGAAAATACTATATGTCCTATGACTTATACTATTAATATTATAAAAAATCAGTAAGTGAAAGGTGCTTGTATTATAATATTAATTTCTTGATTTAATAATTATTTTTTTCTTTAGGAGTAAATAATTGTAAAATAAAAGAAATATAATCTGTATAAAATAAATGGCGTCATCACAGTTTCGATATTATTCAAAAACAATATTTTATACGCTTGTATTTATTAATTTACAATATTTTCTTGTTTTTGACCTAATTTTTCAAATAAATAAAAATAAATAACACTTAAAATATTGAAATATGTTGAAATATAGTATACATTAAAATTCATAAGTTAAAAGTCTTGAAATGTCATTCTAGTAATTCAGTAGTTCAATCAACTCCAGCTGGACAATAAACATATTTTGGAAAATCACAAATATGACGCTTTGTATCAAACCACATTCCTATAGTACACTTTTGTGGAATATCAATGCCATTTCGACATATATAATAGTTATTACAATGATTTGAATGAGGAATTAAAGTTCCATCAGGTAGATTATTACAAATCGATGGTTCTGGTGGGTTAGAAGTAGTTGTTGATACGACTTCTGAAGATGTTATAGGTGTAGTTTCAGTTGTTTTAGTTGTACTTGTAGTTTTGAAGGTGGTCCTAAGAGTCGTTGTTGTTGTGTTTACAGTTGAAGTCTGTTGCGTAGTAGTGATTGGCGGAATGGTTGTTCCATGATTACATACTGGACATAATCCTGGTAAGCATACTCCCAAATTTTTGTCAAATTTCATTAAAGACGGGCATAATATTGTTTTTTTTCGTCCTCGAATACAAACTGAATAACGACGACAATCATATGGATCTTCAAATGTTACGCCACTAGGTTGATTTTTACAGTTTTTCGGAATAATCGATTCATCATAATCGCAAGGAGCACATTGACCGTACACACACTTTTTCAAAATATTGTCAAATTTTTTTTTATACGGGCATATTCTAGGTAATCCGTGACCGAGAACGCAAACTTTATAGCCATGACAATTGTTTGGATCTATTATTTTGAAATTGTATGGTTTTCCTTCACATTCCGATTTGTAAATTGCTATAACATTTCCAAATAATAAAATCAAACTTCCCAAAACATAATACTCTAAAAAAGTTTAATTTCCTAAAATTTATATGGCTTTCCAACAAATTAAAGAACAAATTAACTCACTTTTCATTTTTTTTTAAATTACGATATATTTTTCCCAAAATATTTCGTCCTATTGATGCATTTGAAATATTGAAAACTGAACATATTTTCTATATTCGTTATTTATATATGCAGTGCAAAGAAAAAAATAATCAGTTTAATGAATCATATTGCTTGTTATCTGAGATACTAATCAAATTGATTTAATCTTTATTTTAAAATATAATTATTTTCCTTAACTAAATGACATAATACTAGTAAGAAATAAAGTACAATAAAATATATACAGGTGCTTGTCTACATGTTACTAAAATGAAAGTTATTAATTATTAACAAAAATAAAACAACTTTTTATATTCTAAAAAAAATATTTTCGGAAGGCTGGAACTTTGGAATTGACGCAAGTTATTGCGTGCGATATATAGGATAAATAGAATCGATTCCAGCAGAACAATCAGCAAGATGTGGGAAGTCACAAACAAGGCGTTTCGAATCAAACCATAACCCAATTCTGCATCGTTTAAGCACAGCCACATGACCAATGCACATATAATACCGGTTACAGTGGTTAGGATGAGGAAGGAGACTACCGTCTGGTAGAATACGACACTCTGATTCTGGTTTAGCCGTTGTAGTACTTGGCAATTGTGTAGTTGTAGTGGTATGTATACTAGTTGATGTTGTAGTTGACGATTCCACACTTGTTGTAGAAATGTCGGTGGCAGTTGAAGTTGATAACTCTGTGGTTGATTCATCTGTCGTTGCGGTTGGAACTGAACTCGTTGTTGTAGTTGACGAATCTGTAGTTGTGCTTGGAATTTCAGTAGTAGTTGAAGTTGGTGTCTCAGTGGTTGTAGTTGATGATTCTGTAGTTGTAGTAGGAACTTCACTGGAAGTTGTAGATGACGATTCAGGGGTTGTGCTTGGAATTTCGGTAGTAGTTGAAGTTGACAACTCTGTAGTTGTTGTAGGCATTTCGGTAGTTGTTGAACTTGACGAGTCTGTAGTTGTTGTGCTTGGAATTTCGGAGGTTGTTGAAGTTGGTGTCTCTGTGGTTGTAGTTGATGATTCTGTAGTTGTAGTAGGATCTTCACTGGTAGTTGTAGATGAGGATTCAGTGGTTGTGCTTGGAATTTCGGTAGTAGTTGAAGTTGACAACTCTGTAGTTGTTGTAGGCACTTCGCTAGTTGTTGAACTTGACGAGTCTGTAGTTGTTGTGCTTGGAATTTCAGAGGTTGTTGAAGTTGGTGTCTCTGTGGTTGTAGTTGATGAATCTGTAGTTGTAGTAGGAACTTCACTGGTAGTTGTAGATGACGATTCAGTGGTTGTGCTTGGAATTTCGGTAGTAGTTGAAGTTGACAACTCTGTAGTTGTTGTAGGCATTTCGGTAGTTGTTGAACTTGACGAGTCTGTAGTTGTTGTGCTTGGAATTTCGGAGGTTGTTGAAGTTGGTGTTTCTGTCGTTGTAGTTGATGATTCTGTAGTTGTAGTAGGAAGTTCACTGGTAGTTGTAGATGACGATTCAGTGGTTGTGCTCGGAATTTCGGTAGTAGTTGAAGTTGATGACTCTGTAGTTGTTGTAGGCACTTCGCTAGTTGTTGAACTTGACGAGTCTGTAGTTGTTGTGCTTGGAGTTTCGGAGGTTGTTGAAGTTGGTGTTTCTGTGGTTGTAGTTGATGATTCTGTAGTTGTAGTAGGATCTTCACTGGTAGTTGTAGATGACGATTCAGTGGTTGTGCTTGGAATTTCGGTAGTTGTTGAAGTTGACAAGTCTGTAGTTGTTGTAGGCACTTCGCTAGTTGTTGAACTTGACGAGTCTGTAGTTGTTGTGCTTGGAATTTCAGAGGTTGTTGAAGTTGGTGTCTCTGTGGTTGTAGTTGATGAATCTGTAGTTGTAGTAGGAACTTCACTGGTAGTTGTAGATGACGATTCAGTGGTTGTGCTTGGAATTTCGGTAGTAGTTGAAGTTGACAACTCTGTAGTTGTTGTAGGCATTTCGGTAGTTGTTGAACTTGACGAGTCTGTAGTTGTTGTGCTTGGAATTTCGGAGGTTGTTGAAGTTGGTGTTTCTGTCGTTGTAGTTGATGATTCTGTAGTTGTAGTAGGAACTTCACTGGTAGTTGTAGATGACGATTCAGTGGTTGTGCTTGGAATTTCGGTAGTAGTTGAAGTTGACAACTCTGTAGTTGTTGTAGGCATTTCGGTAGTTGTTGAACTTGACGAGTCTGTAGTTGTTGTGCTTGGAATTTCGGAGGTTGTTGAAGTTGGTGTTTCTGTTGTTGTAGTTGATGATTCTGTAGTTGTAGTAGGAACTTCACTGGTAGTTGTAGATGACGATTTAGTGGTTGTGCTTGGAATTTCGGTAGTTGTTGAAGTTGACAGCTCTGTAGTTGTTGTAGGCATTTCGCTAGTTGTAGAACTTGACGACTCTGTAGTCGTTGTGCTTGGAATTTCGGAGGTTGTTGAAGTTGGTGTCTCAGTGGTTGTAGTTGATGATTCTGTAGTTGTAGTAGGAACTTCACTGGTAGTTGTAGATGACGATTCAGTGGTTGTGCTTGGAATTTCGGTAGTAGTTGAAGTTGACAACTCTGTAGTTGTTGTAGGCATTTCGGCAGTTGTTGAACTTGCCGAGTCTGTGGTTGTTGTGCTTGAAATTTCAGAGGTTGTAGAAGTTGACGTTTCTGTGGTTGTTGTTGATGAGTCTGTAGTTGTGGTTGGAACTTCACTGGTTGTTGTAGGTGGCGATTCAGTGGTTGTGCTCGGAATTTCGGTAGGAGTTGAAGTTGATGACTCTGTAGTTGTTGTAGGTATTTCGGTGGTTGTTGAACTTGACGATTCTGTAGTTGTTGTGCTTGGATTTTCGGAGGTTGTAGTTGATGATTCTGCAGTTGTGGTTGGAACTTCACTGGTTGTTGTAGATGACGATTCAGTGGTTGTGCTTGGAATTTCGGTAGTAGTTGAAGTTGACAACTCTGTAGTTGTTGTAGGCATTTCGGCAGTTGTTGAACTTGACGATTCTGTAGTTGTTGTGCTTGGACTTTCGGAGGTTGTAGTTGATGATTTTGTAGTTGTGGTTGGAACTTCACTGGTTGTTGTAGATGACGATTCAGTGGTTGTGGTTGAAATTTCGGTAGTAGTTGAGGTTGACGATTCTGTAGTTGTTGTAGGTATTTCGGTGGTTGTTGAACTTGACGATTCTGTAGTTGTTGTGCTTGGATTTTCGGAGGTTGTAGTTGATGATTCTGTAGTTGTGGTTGGAATTTCACTAGTTGTTGTAGATGACGATTTAGTGGTTGTGCTTGGAATTTCGGTAGTAGTTGAAGTTGACAACTCTGTAGTTGTTGTAGGCATTACGGTAGTTGTTGAACTTGACGATTCTGTAGTTGTTGTGCTTGGAATTTCGGAGGTTGTAGTTGATGATTCTGTAGATGTGGTTGGAACTTCACTGGTTGTTGTAGATGACGATTCAGTGGTTGTGGTTGAAATTTCGGTAGTAGTTGAGGTTGACGATTCTATAGTTGTTGTCGTTGGCGAATCTGTAGTTGTTGTGCTTGGAATTTCGGATGTTGTTGAGGTTGACATTTCACTGGTTGTTGTGCTTGGAATTTCGGAGGAGGTTGAGCTTGAAGTATTTGTGGTTGAGGTTGATGATTCTGTAGTTGTGGTTTCAAGTTCCGTGGTTGTGCTAGGAAAATCTGTTGTTGTTGTTGTTTTTGTAGTGGTAGTGGGTGTAGTTGTACTTGAAATCGGAGGCGGGGTAACTATATTACATGGCGGGCACTTTCCTGGTACACATTTTCTGATAAATTCATCAAACTTTGTACCATAAGGGCAAACTTGTGAATAGGCGCGCCCATGTATGCAAACTAAATAGCCATGGCAATCTTCTGGATCTTGTAGTTTAAAGCCAAAAGGCCTATTATCACAATCACTATACTGAGAGCTTGCAGTCATTATGAGCAATGACATGGTTGTAATGAGATCTACAATATGGGTATGATAAAATTTTTAAATTATTGTTTTTACATTTTTTTGTTATCTTAAACTAATCACTTACATTTCATAATTTGGCTGCGTTATTAAAAAAAAATTAAGAAAAGAAATAGAATTTAATTGTTTATATTAATGTGGTCGTGAGGGAAATAACTCAAATCTCTTTTACTTTTCTTATTTATATAAATATGATAAAACCAAAAATTCTAAGAAACTTATACAAAATTTAAAACCATTATCTTTATTAGATATCGCTCACTTATTTAATTAATTTATTAAAATTACTAGAATAAAATTGAACCTTTTCAAAATTTCGAATGAAAAAGGAAAAGAAAATATTACAAATGATAAGGATTTATCAGCCGAATTTCAGAGATTATCGCATAGTACCATAAGTTCTTTTACTATATTTAATTTTTTTTAGAAAATGAACTAATACTGCATTAAAAATAGTGATTTTTACAGTAAATTTGTTCATCTCTTTTTTTTAAACTTATTAATTTCCACTTATTCATCCATTTTTTAACAAAGTTCAGTGAAAATTTTGAAAGATTTGCCGGTTAATTTTCGTATTTTAAAAGTAGACACTTTCATTTCAATATCGTTTCATTAAAAGTATACTAACCAAAATATTTTGAGAATTTTCAAAGAAATTTTAAAATGGAAAAAACAAATTTGATCATAACGGTAAAAATGAATGTTAAAACTGCTATGATTCTTTGTAGTATTTGAAAAGAGAGTTCACTCTTTAAACTAATACCAATAAATTTTTAACATAGCAGCATAGTATTTTTAACTTAATGTATCAATAAATTGTGTTAGAACTTGTATAAAATGTAGGGCTTCTTGAAAATATTCATTAACTTATCAATTTCGAAATATCTACAATGGAACATAAGATTATACTTAATACTTAACAAGCAAAAATTATTAAAAATTATTATTTATTTTTATTAAAAATTATTAAAAATTATACGAGTATTTATGTTCAAATTGCTATTTTTATTGCATACTTGATATATGGCTTCTAATTATTCAAATATTTTCAAAAATATTATAAAGAACTCCTTTTTTAGATAAGCCTAAAAAATCCACTTCAAAAATGCTAAATTAATACTAATTAATTATTCGAAAAATAATTTCAAAAAATATGTACATCATATGCATATAAAAATATGCATATCAAATACTTCAAATATATCAAATAATCAATTAAAATTCGTTATAATTTTTTAAAGATAAACCGGAAATTATATTAATATTTTAAGAACTTAACAACTTTTCTAAGTAATATTAACTCAACCACTTTTTATAAGCGAAATTATTTATGTATTTTTGTTTATTATTAAAAATACAAATGAATTTAATCATAATAGCTTTAATCTGATTTTTTATCAACATAATTATACAGGTGTATTAACAAAATATATGTGATTCATAATTGTGAATTTTATAGCTTTAAAAATTCCATAAAATTTAATTGATGGAATTAGTTTAGTGCTAAATCTCTAGTTCAGCATAAACGGCGATTGGAATACAATTTAAATTCAAATTTTTTCAATATTCGTATTAAAAAGGTCCACAATTCCGAAGTTGGGGTTAAAAACGAGACAGTTTAGCTTTGGTGAACAGAAAAATACAAAAATTTATTTCATTAAATATTGAACTAAAAAATAAAATTTTCGAAAATTTAAACATTTCAACTAATAAGGCATTAAAATATTTGGAGCATGTGGTTTTGTATTTTTCTCAATACTCAAATGAAGAAGAATACAGGCGCTTAAAAAGCTTAATCAGATCAAAAGTGAGGTTGGCTAAGCAAAAATGGTTAAAAGAACAAAGTGATGAAATTGAAAAACTTCAACGTAGTCATGATGACTCCAATCTCCATAGAAAGGTCAAAAGAAATGTCTGGAATACATAAAAGATCAAGTCTCTCCGCACTAACTAATAATAATCAATCAATAGTCCAGACCGACCTACAGCAATGACTGGCTGTTCCGTTACAAAAGAAGAAATTATAGGCGCCATTCGAATTTCAAATAACAACAAAGCGACAGTGTTAGAAGATGTTCCAGCTGAAATAATCAAGTTGATTGATGACGAAAATTTAGTTTTGCTACATAGATTCTTCAACAACATATATGACACAGGTGTCTATCCTGCAGAATGGCTTACCTCGACATTTGTTCCGTTGCCAAAAAAAACCTACATCAAAACATGCGATGAACCTTGTTTAATTTGTTAATGAGCCACACGCTTAAGATCTTCCTCAAGGTGATTCATAACCGTTTGTATCCGAAAGCAGAAAAACATATTATGGGTCGGACACAATTCGGTTTTAAGCAAGGTACGGGTGTTAGGGTCCAGCACCAAAAACTTATGAACATATTGAGCATGATTGAAGTGGAAGAAAAAACTCTACGATGCATTGAAAATTTGTACTGGCATCAAAGGGCGAATGTACAAACACACGATGGCTTAACGAATTAAACGAAGTTATATACTGTCACCGTTACTTTTCAACTTGTATGCAGAGACCATATTTTGTGAAGCATTGGAGTTGGTTGATGTTGGAATCTAAGTAAATGGTGTATATAACAACATCCAATACGCCGATGATACCAAACTATTAGCAGATAACATAAATGATCTTCAATATTTGGTGGATATAACAAATCGACACAGCAAAAATTACGGCCTAAAAATGAATGTAAACAAAACTAAATTAATGATAATTAGCCGAGACGGGACACCATATCCAACGGCAACAATTAACATAGATCACGTTCCTGTGGAACGCGTTACCAGCTTTAGATATATCGGGTGCTGGTTGACGGAAAAATGGACCTGTGAACAAGAAATACGGTGCCGAATCGAGATTGCAAGAAGTGCATTTTGTAAGTTCGAAAAGGTTTTATGCTGCAGAGATTTAAATCTAGGATTACGTTTACGCTTCATGAAATGTTACATTTGGTATATTTTATTATATGGCCTTAAGTCCTGGACGTTGAAGGTCCCGCAAATGAACAAATTGGAGACTTTTGAAATGTTGCTATATCGACGAATGTTAAAAATTTCGTATTTCTATCATATTACGAATATTGAAGTCCCGCAACGCATCAACACTCCACGAGAACTGTTATCAAATGTGAAAAGAAGAAAAACGGCGTGGCGAAAAATACGAGCTTCTACAACTGATAGTTCAAGGGAGAATTGAAGGCAACAGAGGTATTGGAAGAAAACAGTTATCATGGTTGAGAAACATCAGGAATTGGACTGGCATTTCAAACATAGGCGACTTAATGCATGTGGCGACGAACCGTGAAGAGTACAATAACATCATTGCAAGAATATAACAACAACAGCAATCGCCAACGACATATGACCGCTAACATCCAGAAATGGATAGGCACATTAGATAGAGAGATATGGTTTTGTTTTAATTTTATAGATATCTATATACATACTACATTTAACAATAATACCAAAACTTGGTAACCTATATTGCAGAGCTAACTGTTTTTCTCCTTTTCGTATTTATTTTGTATAAGTACGCATAATTCTAAATGCTTTTCAAATTTATTATATGAATAAAATATAAAAAATTTGATTTTAATCATTGTGATATTTATTACATTTTAAATGCATACACACATACACACATGAATAATATTTTCCAGGTATATACGAGAAATACGTTTAAGATGGTGTCGCCACCGTCATCAATCGCTAGCACAGTTGTTTTTTAATAATTGACTTCTTCATTTGGACATATTCCACGAGACTATAATGTTGGCCATAATGCATAATATCCCAATTGAAATTCTGCGTTTAAAAAAAACGCGTACGAGTATATATATAAAACGGTTGTTATTGCTTTGCTTTTTTTTATTTTAACTTTTGCTATAAGAAATACCAAATAATCAAATAAAACATAAATTATTTTTAAACTAACATTATTATTTTGAAACTGTCTTAGCATATCATTAATTTTATTAAAAGCAAAAAAATAGCAAAAAATAAAATCTCATGCAATAAAAATGCAGTCATATATAGTAGACATTTTAGACATATTGCAATCTAAACAAGGAATTTTTAATTGAGAGGGTGGTTAATTGCAATTAAATTCACGTTTTTCCATGTATAGGTTATATACAAGTAAATATCGACAACGATTCATATAATGTATGTGTTCTACTGCATATACATATATGTATGTACTTATATATTCACATATTTAAAGATAAAATGTGTAAAAGAAAGATTTATGCGATTGTGGGAATTGAAAATTTTCGTTTCAGTTTTTCTTTAATTCTCATTTAGTTTGATTTATTTTGGTTGAATAATAAAAAAATCAAAATAGATTGATATAAGCAAAAAATATATGTATATATACATATGAATGTATGTACACGAATTCTGATTCAAAAATGATTGATATCTATAAAATATTTAATGAAATTGATTTACAAACGAAGGTAAAGAGGATTGCGATATAAAATTTTTTGTTTTCTTGTTTTTTTGCTTAAAATATGTTTTGCATATTTATTTAACCTGTAAACCATTCTAATGTAATAACTTTCAATAAGTATTACATTGACTAATTAATTAAAAATTGTAAATTTGATATTGCATTTACTTAAAATTGAAAAAATTCTGTTGAATTTTCCATTAGATAATTTTTTATTTTTTTGTTTTTAGTACACGAAATATTCTTACAATTATTAAAAAAAGTGTAAGTTTATTAGGAATTATATTTTGATAAAATGGAAATTCATTCATTTTAACTATATTCGAAAGATGGTGACTGAACAAAAATTGTAAGTAATTTTGATAAAATCTAAAAGCACATACACTGCATTCAAAACTAAATTTCTTATATAAATATTTTATGTTTAAATAAAAAACAAATAAATTACAATATTATGATCTTTATTATAATTAGCGTGTTAAGTTTT